TTTCAGCGGGAACCGGAGTGGTTATCAATAGAACTTACACAAAATATACCCGGATTTCAGCGTGACCCTCTCCCAATGGCGCATGGATTCCAGGCTTGGCTTCCGTTACTTCGAGCAATCATCCTCCTGCCGAAACTCTTGTTCTGGATCGCGAGGGTATTCGCCTTGGCTTAGTCAACTTGAACATAATTACTCAGAAGATACTACGCTCATTCTGGCATCTCGTGCCTCACTTGATACGTGTGCAGTGTTACAGCGTGCTCTTAAAACTAGGCAGCCATCTCTACCCGCGGTCTTTCACTGGCCTCGTGCACCAGTTGCCGTTCGTACTGTACGCAAAAGAATGCACCCGCTCTGCCAATGAAGGAGAAACACTAAAGCTTGTGGAACGATACACCTCTGTCCCCGCGCCCTTTTGGGTAGATGATTACCAGGGCACGCACCGCGTTCCTATCATGACGGCCATCTCTGGACAAACGCTGGATGCTGTTTTCCATCGACTCTCGTACCCGGAGCGCAAGCAACTGTCCAAAGACCTGAAAAGTCCCTTATCACAGCTACGTTCTATTCCGAACCAGAGCCCGTACCGCTTTGGCGACAGTCATGGCGGCCCGCTATTTGACCACCGTTTCCCCTCCGGCATATGTGGTCCATTTCACCAGATTTATGAATTCAATTCCTTCCTCATCCATAAATACGTGCTCAATGAGACAAGGGACAATGTTGCGGCCATCCACGCGCGTACGTACCGGTCTGTGTTCACCCATGCGGACCTGAATCCCAGCAATATTCTAATTGATCATGGGCGTCTGTCTGGAATTGTGGGCTGGGAATGTGCCGGCTTCTATTCTGAGTGCTGGGAGTTTAGCGATCTCCAGAAATACAATCTGTCATTCGTGATGCATTGGAAGATACATATGAGGAGGAGCTAGAAACTGAAAGGCTATTGTGGTACGACACGCCATTTGGTGTATGATGCATCGTCGGATTGTATGCATACATCGGAACCTGCATATATCACCGTTTCAAAATTGCAGTATTAAAGTTGCAATATCAATGTTCCATTAACATCCAATGAAATTTAGACAATTGCAAAAGCATGTTCTAGCAAATTTCCTCTCTGCGCCTACTGTCGTACACCTTTTGATATTCCAGTCTCGACAGCTTTGATTTGAAGTGCCAAAAATTTGGAGTAGATCCGACACAAGGCGAGGTTTCCGCCAAAGTACCAGAAGCCCGGATGACCACTGGGACGCCACATCTGAACAGTATAATTAGCATCCATTTCAAAAGGATTACCGGAGTATATGTCAGCTTACGGCTTGAAGCTCTCCTTCTGCATCAAGATCCCAAACGTCGGAACACCGATCCGCGACCTTGTCACCCAATACCTTCCTCACTGTTGTGCGCATATTATCGTATCCAGTGGCAAGGACGACAACATCCGCTGGGAGGGAGTCACCGTTCGCCAAAAGCAGCTCGCGATTCCCAATGCCATTGATACCGCCCGGGTTGTGATTGACTTTGATCTTGCCATCGATGATAAGCTGACTGCATCCTACGTCAATATAATAACCTCCGCCGCGTGTAAAGTATGCGCGTGAAATTCCAGCTCCATCCAGCCCAAAATCAAGTTCGAAGCCAGCCCGACGGAGTCCGTCTAGGGTCCCCTTTTCGGCGTCGGCAATTCGCTTCGTCGTATGCACACTCAAAGCGAATTGAACAGGCCAGGGGAGACTCTCGCAGGCGATATCACATTCTTCAGTTGGTGGACTGCACGGTTGGTGTGAGTATGATGTGAATTTGGGAGATGAGGTTGAAAAAGACAGGAAAGACTTTGAAAACTTACCCGCCATCCTCATGCATTCCGCTGTGCATCATGAAGACACCCTTTTCGGCAGTTATAACATATGTCCCGCTGCGCTGCAGCATAGTGACATCTGCGCCGTTCTCGTAATAGTTCTGCGCGATATCATGACCGCTGTTACCAGTCCCGACGACGACAACTTTCTTGCCGCGAACATCACTTTCCGACGCATCGCGGTGCTGGCTGCCATGGTAAACATTGCCCTGGAAAGATTCTTGTCCCGGGAAGGAAGGAACCTTGGCCTCGCCTGAGTGTCCTGTGCACCATACAAGGTGACGAGGCCGGAGAGTGCGTTGGGACCCATCGCCGCGAGCAAGGACAACCGTCCACTGGCCTGCAGCTTCGTCGTACTCTGCTGAAACTATTGAGGTCTGCATCCAGATATTCAACTCCATGATGCTGGCGTACGCTTCAAACCAGTCACCCAATTTGTCTTTCGGCGTAAATTGTGGCCAGTTTTGCGGGAAGGGGAGATAGGCCATGTGTGTGTATTCGGCTGGATCATGCGTGACAAGCGTCTGCATACAAAAGATCAGCATTTCTCTCCATCATAGATCAAGTTCCTCTAATGTCATTTACCCGGTACCGGTTACGCCAATTATCTCCAACGCGCTCGCTCTTGTCAACAATCAAGCACGACACACCGAGGCTCTGCAAACGCGCACCCATATTCAATCCAGCTTGGCCTGTTGACTAGTTAGCATTCCAATAATAGACAATAATCCCAACAAAGGAATCCCTCACCAGCCCCCACAACCAAAGTAGTGGGCTCCTCATCCAAAAACTCCTTCTGTCGATTCCTGCGCTCGATCCATGTGCCCCCAGCTGGACCACCGGGCATCGACTCTGTCGTCCCTTGAGCTCGACGCTTTCCTAGGGGCTCCTGGGCAGAGCTGAGCTCCTGCAACGACGTATACATAGCATAAGCCTTCCAAACTCCATCCTCCGCCTGCGTCAGACGGAACATGCCCGTTCCAGTACCAACGGCAGTCTCGAAGAAGAACATTGAAGACACCCAGCTCAACCCGTCGACGACCTGCTCCAGACGTGGCTGGAACTTGCCCTTATTCTGGAGTTGGAACATGGACAGTTGTGCCTTGGTCTGTTGCTTGCATAGGAAGTTCTGAATCTCAGTGGCTGCGTGTACGGTGCGCATGTCCCAGTCCAGCGCCAGCATGTCGCGCCACCAGGACTCATCGTGGAACAGCTCCTTGATATTCAAGTCCTCTGAACGGGAGAGCTGGACTTCGAGGGCCGATAGCCATTGCTGGGCGATGCTTCGCGGGTCGGAGGGTACGTCGGAGGGCGTTTTGGGCAGTTGGATGATATGTGGGTTTCCGCCGGTTAATGTCGTTGCCATCTTGAGGACGGTTCGGAGATTTCCTCAGCTGCCGACTTGAATGGGCGCGAAGGCGGTATAATTCGGGCAGCGATGCGGAAGGATGCCTTCTGCGTCAATTGCGGGACTCCTGTTGGCAGTTCTTATACCCTCTGTGTTCCCCTCGATTTCCATGTTGCCGGTTGGCTGTATCACAGGCAACTAAGCCGAGTTCCACGGCATACATCCGAGCGAGGGGCAATTGGAGGACGTGGAGTACAATTCAATATCCAGGTGGACTCGCCTAACGCCAGTCACTTCGGCCTCCTCCCCGAGATTCTGGAGCAGGTCGGAAGAATGAATCCCGAGCTGACAATTTGAGGCAGGTTGGCCGAGCGGATCAGCCCAAACAGGAAAATCTGGCGATGGATTCTAGAAACTTGCCAAATCTGGTATCTGCAGGCTCATTTTACTCTTCTAGGATACTCACATGGTAAGCCCTACTGGCACGGAAAAGTCCCTGCTGGCCTAGGAGCCGTAGAGATAACAGTCCCTCGTATAGAACATTTTAAACAAGTCAGTTAATGTGAACTAAGACGCAATATTAGTTCTAATAGTAACGTAGAAGGCCTTAAGAGCATAGGTGGTCACTAATTCGTAGCCACGGGTTCCTCTAGCGATTTATTAGGCACGGCGACTAATATAACAAAAATTAAGCAAAGACCGAATATCAAGGTACCATATCTTACAGATGATCTCAAGCGGTAAAGATTGAAGATTTCCAAGGGTTGAGGAAGTAGCCCGGACCGTTCGAAGCAGCGAACTACATACTTGGTTATGGTCCTGGGGATTTGTTCCTACAACCGCTATCTCGAAGTCACGCCGATGGTATGGAGCGACGCGAATAATCTCTATCTCATGCACTTTTTCGGACATATAAGTGGATGTCGATGTTTTGCCTGATTCCATAGCATATGCCAGCGATCGGTTCCTAGTAGGATAGTGCAGTGTTGGAATTGTGATTGTGGAGTCCGGATGTTGACATGCTTTCTGGAGGACTCGTGCACGTGGGACTCGCAACCTTTGAACCTTCCAAGGTTTGAATAGATGGACGGTGTGGGATAGGTCACGTGATAATATTCTGCCATATGTCCTGAAACAGATAGGCGGTATAATTCTGCCAGAAAACAGCGGATAGGCATTTCGCCCTTCAGGGCATAATGTGACAAAAGTATACAGAGAAGATTAGCATGGCCCCTGCACTAAGGATGATATGACTCAATCAAAGAGAAGTGTTTATTTTTTTTCCCTTCAATGTCCTTTTTTGAGGTGGTGGGGTGCGGGTCGTTTTGTTCCAAAGTGATTGGTCCTACAAAATTAGGAATTCACGTGGGAACCACAATGTCGTGGGTTCAAAATCAGGTGAAGGCGATTGGATTGGCCAGGATGTATTTTAGTGGATAAATTGCTCCACAGCTCCATCCAAATTCCATCCAAACTTGGAATACTCCAGGTGTCCTACAATGTTTATTTTCAGGTTCACGTATACATCCACCGATCACTAACCGGAATTAGGATTGGAATGCGATCCATCTAGCTGGTGATTACACGCACATAACGGGTCATAGCCGTCAGATATCTACATATTTTGCAACCCTTTGCAAAAGTTAATATCATGAAAGATGAGGGGAAAGTAAATTCTAATAGTGACTGTACCATTATTCTGTCTGTCTCGAGAATCAAGAGTGGCGATTTACCGTTTGTATCTTTTGCACGCGAGCCCTTGATGGAAAGTACATTTACATTAGGCAGAGGAGACCCAACACCGATAATTCTCCCACTATCTAAGCACAAACTCCGTACCAAGAAGGGTCTTTTTTGCCCACGATTCGTGGAAAGTCCTAGATGAGGGGCATTCACTTGATCTTGATATTTGGAGTAAACTCATTAAGACATGTCTTCTAGTCCTGCATAAATTGTTGGATCCACTTGCACAATTTAGCGACGAACATATCTTTCCGAAGTCTGGGTAGGGCTGATTACTGGGCTTTCCATTCCGACACGAGCGTCAGCTTCTTAGCTATTGTGTTTCTGAAGTCCTTGTTTCGGAAATAGGCTTTTTCATCTCTTTCGATTTTCTAAAGTGGCCGATCCTCTTATTAGTACTCGCTGTAAAGTCGGTTGTAGTGAGGTAAACGCTGCTGTCGTAAGAATTGTTGCCCTAGGTCCTATATAGGGTCATATGAAGACTTCCAGATAGTAGAAAAGAGGTTATAATCGCTAATTGAGTCAAAGTTGAGGAGTCGATTCAACCTCCACGAGACTTGCCCCCATTTAAGTGCTTCACGATATTTATAGATCAATCTATCTTCTATCGAGCTAGGCATCGTAGAAATAAAGCCATCTATAAAGGGTGCATGTAAGTCTAAACTAATTCAGCGCGGTATTTGCGCAAACCTAGGGTGACTAGCAGCATAGATTCAGGAATGAATGAAGCGAATGCCTAGTCGATAATACAGGTGATGTTGTAATCTTCATCAACGTATATATTATTGACGCTTAGGTCAGCATAACATAAAGGGAAAGTCTCCGGATTAGCAACAGGACTGATAGCGAGATTGACAGCGGGAAGTTCAAGTTTTCGTATAATGTCACCGAGAGCACTAGCTGCAATTATATAGTCCACTGTATTGTCCGATGTGTCGATCTTGCACCTAATCATCACGAAGTCGTTCGATATTTCTATAGCGGTCCTATATTGCTTGTCGTATTTATATTCGTCCGGTGAGGGAATAGGAGCCACGAAGCAATGGTGTGATAACTGTAAAGTCTCTGCGTGCTCCGAGAATGTAGAAGTAAGGCTGTCGAAGAATTCCGCCTTAGAAGGGAATGGCCCGCGTGGGATTTCTAAATCATATCGGCTATATAAGATGTGACCACGCGAGAGGCATTATTTTATTTTAAAGGAATTGTCGTCTTCGAGGGACTTATCTTTATCGAAGAGCGAGCCAATTGATCGAACCGCAACTGTGAGAGTTTCTAGGTAATGGCGCCCAATTGGGATAGAACTTTAGCCTTATTAAAGGTCTCCAGGTCAGGTTCGGAAGAGCCGACTGGTTTCCAAGCTCTTGACAGTGGTCGGCCAGGGGCTTCGCTCATAAGGATGTACGGAATCCCAATGTTATTATCGGACGAAGCACTTTAGTAGTTAGCACTAAAACAAGCATGGTATGGGATAGTCTTTACCAATAGTCGTATACTTCTGGAACTCAAATATCGCTATGGGCCCTGAGGTATCGAAGCGTAGCAGCCTCGCTTGCTAGTAAGTTCATCCCCGCATCCATTGCCATAAACGACCTAGAGTGGGGGACCGAAAGACCTATCGTATCCCATCTTCAAAGGAAAGAAATATAGCCCAGTTGAAACTTGCCGTGGCAGGACGTTCATTTGCATTACAAGAACATGAAATACCCTGTCGTATGGCGCTGGCTTGGCGTCACAGAGCTTGAAGATCAAATTTGGCATAGGTGAATACTTGTGGATTCTGATTTGGAGACATTCCGATGAAAAGAGATTTTGGTAGGGAAGACAAACGATGTCGAAAAGGACAATTGTAGGCCAAGGCAAGGTGGGAAATAAACCCTAGGCCCACGGGTTGAATTGAGTAAGGTCTGGGGGAGAGAAAAAGAGAGAGAAATCTCAACTAGGCGAGGAGCAGAGTATCCGCCTTAGGCAGCAAGGCTGCCAAACGAACGCGCTGCACTTGACATATCAGATATCCTAACATGCCAGCTCAGCTGAGAAGTGGCCTACACATGCAGCCTACATTAGCGCATAGTAATACCAATACATAACAATGAGTTTAGCTAGGGGATACTCCTATTTGGCTCTTGTATGAGCTAGAAATAAATACGATATTTACCAGTAGCATGCATATGCAGACATGCTGAGCTGCAGTGGCAAATGCAAGTCTTTACCCTGCATATGCATCGAGAATTCTACATGGCAGATGAGTTTTAGCATACGGTTGTAAATCGGCACAGTGAGGGCTAAGAAGAAAGACACTCCTGTTTGACCACAGCTTTCCTAGAGGAGTAATTGTTGAATCTAATGTTAGTACTACGTATGTGCCACTCTCAGCCAAAACGGGCAAGTCTTGAAGAATTTCAAACTCAAATTTCTGGAATATTATTGACTTCTATATTACTCCGATCATATTTTTACTATGCGGTGCATCGAGACCTAAAGCCCGAGTACCCGCATCAATAGTATATGTACTGCGCTGGTCCAATCCAGAAAAGGATCTCATCATTGTTCCATTCATTTTCTCAGAGCCTTTCTCACCGGTCCCCAATCCTGAACATGGAGGGTCCAGATTTGGGCTCTTCGAAGTACGCTTGCAATAGTGTCAGCTCTTTAGGAAATTACAGTACCATTTATACAGGCTTGATCGTCGATGCCGTGCTCGATTCGGCTATTTTGAAAGGGAAACTCACCGAGTTGGTTGGATTATGGCCAATACTTGGGGGCGATTTGATCAAAGATGTGAGTCCATTTTACCGCTACTACGGCCTGCTTATATCTTTTCATAGACAAAACCATGGTCCTTCACCTGTGGCTCTACGGTCGATTATGCCAGCAGGGCTATTGACCAATCACTGGCTACGTATCTTCCGATCTATCACGAACAACATGGCAAGGAGCCAAGTATCATGGAAAGCCCCGAAATATCCGCGGTTGATGAGAAGTTCATATTCAATGTCTCTCCTAGCCTCGCAAACAGTTTCCGCCTCCGTGTCACTCTCCTACAGGATGCTACTTTACTCTGTTTTGGAATCACACACCATATTTGCGATGGCAATGATTGTTGGGAAGTGGTCAAAGCGTTTTGTGACCTATTGTCTAATAAGCCAATTCCTTTATTTGCTCTTCCGCCTGACGCCGGGGATGTTCGAATGTCCGATCTGATGAAAGCCAAAAATATGTGCTCTGAAACCGAATCGAATTTCCACTACCGGACACACGCACAGAACTATGACACTGGAATACTGAATCTGGCAATGACTGTATGGCGCGTGCTGCTGACGATCATTGCTATGAAGTTTGGATTCCTTGCGGAGCTTACAACCAAGTTCATCTACATTCCAGGCGCATGGGTCGACGAATTACGGGTCAAATCACAGGCAGAGCTGAAAGACTGTTCTCCTGAGATTCAACTCACACGAAACGATGTTATTGCGGCGTGGTATCTGAAATCCGTCTATTCCCATCAGCCTACAGCTATGTCCCCTAATCCAGTGGACTACTTTGGGATAATCGACTTTCGCCGCTTTATTGAGCCCCCGAAGCCTGGAACATACTACATCCGCTGTAGTGTTGGGGCATTTCGGTGTAAATTCTCCGTTCAGCAGCTGAAAGAAGAGTCAGTGGCTGAGATTGCACGGGATATACGCCTCACAACACTGCAATATACATCCACCGAATCCGTCCACCAGAGCCTTCGGTTCTCAGAAAACCATACATCTAAAACTCTCACTTTAGCACTGCGTGGCACTATAAACCTGGGGTTTGTTGTGGTATCTCATTGGACAACTTTTGATTATGCAGGTCTTGATTTCTCGGGTGCCAGTCTTAATGGGCAAAAAGCGCCAGTCATATTTGTGAACCCCATGATCGTAAACACATGGAACCTCACGATAGCACCTGTGGCTGTCGTCATGAAGAATGGGTCTGGAGGCTACTGGATTCGTGCTACGAATACATCAACTGGTTGGGAACGGTTCAGCCTATCTAACAGCATCGAAAGTCTGTTTCCTACATAGTGATCGGAGTTTCGCCTTTTCGGTTCATCTTTGCAAATCGTAGTCCAACCAACTAGTTAGTACGCCTATTTTCAAGGTCTGAACTATTTCAAATGAGAAAATTGCAGTCATGTAGCCTGTTGAAGCCCGAGGCAAACACATCAAACGTCTCTGTGCGTTGTTTGCTTCCGCCGTCTCTTCTATATTCTTTCTAGCCCGGTCATTTTCCTTGCGAATGAATTGATATGGTTTCCATTTGATTATTTGCAGTATCCTTTAGACAGTATGGATGGCCAAGACCGCTAACCGCCTTACAAAAAGTCATAGTTATTTAACTAAAGTACCTACATGTATCCATGAATCAAGGTATATATTCATTCATGGCATATCACATGACCATATGTTTTTGAACGCCGTAGACACATCCAAGGCGCTTGCATGTCATTCAGCGACCCCTAAGAAAATTCGCCCAAGTCGATGTCAGAATTCTCTGCAATCTTACGGGATCTTGCCGATGAATCGATGCGAGAAATCGACTTTTTCGATTCTTCCTTCTTCAAAGTGCCCGGCAGAAGCCTCCGGACACCGGCGCAAGTCAGAGCTTTCTCGAAAGACATTCACGCGAACCCCCAGTCACAGCCTATTACGTTCGAAGAGTTGAAAATCGTCGTCAAGTTTGGCCCTTATGTCACGATCGCAGAAGCGCAGTGTATTTGGATGATCAAACGGGCCTTTGACGACGAGATTCCAGTGCCCGAAATTTTTGGGTGGCGAGTCGACGAGGAGAACTATGTATTTCCCTGTGGAGTCTATCCAAGGACAGACACTGCAGGACAGCCGGAATGAGCTCAATAGCCTGGAAAAACGCTCGGTCTGCGATGAGTTACGTCAGATACTCAGCCGTCTGCGCCGACTCGAACAAGGTCCCTCTGATCAGTGTATTGGTACGCCCCGGTCGAATTGGGAATGTTGCTATTTGCATTTAATCGAAAATTTTCAGGCTCCCTAAATCACCAGCGACTCCTGGATTATGTTTTTCGGTCATACCTGAAAACCGAGCCTTTCTTAACAATTAAGGATTTCAACGATTGGTTTTCCTAGTTTTCCTCCTTACCACAACTACGGCTTCCTCCTTCGATGAAATACGAAGACCCTACAGGTCTTTGTTGCCAGACGGCGGAGTCATTAAATTTACTCATGGCGGGCTTCACCGGGGGAACATCATGATCTCTTCCAGCAAACCAGCTTGAATCGTTGCCATTGTAGACTGGGAACAAGCGGGGTGGTATCAGACTACTGGGAATACTGTAAAGCATGCTACACTTGCTGGTACGAGGACGAGCGGCGACGAGACTGGGTTGACAACTTTGTAAGCCCAGCTTGCGAGAGTTTGAGGCCTTCGCAGAGTATACACTGGCAATGAGTTCGGTGTCAATTACTTCTACCTATGAATGAATGCTACTCACTGATAAGTACATACGTAGGTACATATATGTACTAGCCCTATCTAGGTAGTGGCTGCCCAGGTGGAGCCCCCGCCCCACCGCCGGCCCTCGGGCCCACCAAGGTTGAGTTAGAATGCTTGTTTGGCTCCCAACACGATTGTGATTTAATAATAAAGTCGACCGCATGCGCCCTTCTAACTCCAAAGTTTTCTTTTGTTCTTTCTTTTTTTTCAATGGTCGTGGTCGTGTGAAATGACGAGCTTGCGGGAGATCAATGCTTCGACATCTCTCCTCCATGTCTCGCAAGAGGAGCATTTGATTAACGGGGAGGAACATATCCCACTTGAAACGATGAGTCTTTCTATGTGAGTGTCGAATAATTTTCGCAGGTCTGCCTTGCGATCGCCACTGACTAAGCTCTTCTCATTGCAGACAGCCTTCCATCGTGGACCAAAAGGCATACCAGCTTGTCAACAAATGCGATACCCCGGACTGTGAAGCAGCGACAGATAAATAACGATTCAAAGGATTCTCCACCCTCACCGCTGCCACGGACCAAGAAAAAATGGATTACCGGATTACTACTTTGCGCATTGGGAGTGGCACTGGCGCTACTAGCCCATGTTATTCTCACAGTCAAATTAGCCGCAAAAGCTGCTTCTGCTGGCTATGGATGGGGTTCCTCGTCGGCCGTTATCTATGAGGGCACATGTCACCAGGCAAACCAAATCGCGACCGGTCTCCATATTCTTGTCAACATCATCGTGTTGACTTTGACCGCCACAAGCAGCTACTGTAACCAAGTCCTGGCAGCACCGTCACGCGCAAGAATCGATATTGCCCACGCTCAACGGGTGTGGGTATCAATTGGATCGTCCAGTTTTACAAACGTCTGGTACGCGCCCCTATGGCGCAAGACACTATGGCCCTTGGTTCTTGGAACCCCATTGCCAGTCCAGATGATGTATGTTTCTTACTGCGACCATACGGACATGTCTGGCTGATACGCGATGTTTTCAGATACAACTCCTTCATATACGTATTAATCCACGCAAATGACTTCGGAGTTGTTGTTGCTCCGATGGCCTTTGGGAATAGCCACATGGACATGTCTGATTTTCATGTCCCTTCAAACTTCCAGGACATAGTTGGCATGAACGTGAGCGGCCTATATGACGATATCATATCGGGGAAGCTCGAGAAATTGAGCAATGCCACTTGTATGGATGCCTACGGTGGCCCTTATCAAACTGCTCGGTCTACAGTGGTCCTTTTGACCCCAGAGCTTTCCTCAAACCTGACGGCCTGGTCATGTCAGGTTGGACTGGAGACTGGTGGTCTCTCCACCAATAGTACCTACAAGGGCAGCAAATTGAGTTGTGCGATGGATGAATACAAAGGCAACTATACAATTGTGCCGTCGATTAGTAACGAGCTTGTGGTTCATACTTGCTTCAGTCGACCGACTACTCCAACTTGTGAGCTTGGATGCAGTCTGCCCATTGGCTTGGTAGTTATGGCTGTATTGGATTGAAGCTATTATGCATAGTCGTCACTGCTCTTGAGCGCCGGTCGGAAATTCTTTTGACAGTTGACGATGCCCTCAAATCGTTTCTGACATGCCCCGATCCTTACACCGCCAACAACTGTCTCATGGCTCGAGTCAATAAGGGACAGTCAAAAGCATTACCTAGCTTCATGATTATCCCTAAGTATCTATATTCTCCCGCGCCGTGCCATTCCGCTTGGGACAGAGGCCACCTCCACAGCCAAAAAAGATCTGCACGGTCCGACAGAGATGGTCAGCTGCCCTGCCACGTCGATTATTGCTTTCCTCCTGTTTTTCAAAGTCGTCCTCCTTGCCACGGCGAGCCTCGCCTTAGGTTATAATACCAATATGCTCGGCAGTAACAACGGAGTAGATATGAATGCAGATGGCATGTCATCATGGGAACAGAAGCTCACTTCGTTGTACCATACCCAGTTCTACCCAATAGGCTACCTGGGATTTATTACTACCTGTTAGCTGTAAATGTACCGCAGGCTGTGATCACCATAGTCTATGCGGTCTACAACAATACTCTCACTCGAATACAGCGATTTCGGTGTCGAACGCAAGCCCCTTCGGGTCTCATTTCCCACTGGAGAACAACGCTCAACATACTACCTCTCTGTACCATACCGCTACAGTGTACCATTTCTCGTGCTATCCACTCTTGCCCATTGGCTTGCCTCTGAGGCCCTGTCATTCGTGCAAATGATCCCCAAAGATGCTCAGGGTAATCTACATCGCAGTTGAGCCTTACATAGGATTAGTGCTTCGTCTGTTGGTCTGAGGGTTATGGTTATACCCTGGCTCATTGTGGTCGTGACCATTCTCATTTTGATGTTTCGGAGGTTCAAATCGGCCGCCATGCCGCTTGCAATGAACTGTAGCGCGGCCATCAGTGCCGCTTGCCATCCGCCGCCAGATGATGTTGATGCTGCGGAGAAGCCTGTGATGTGGGGACAGGCTGATATGGAAATTGCGAACCTCCGTACATTCCTTGGGCCCGGCGCAGCGGAGATCGAGACAAGATGCCGCCGTACTACCTTCACGTCGAAAGATGTTGTCGAGCCAAGTCCTCAATTTGTGTACTACTAGAATATGACAAGACAAGAAGAGGAAGTCAAAGCACTTCCGTCCCCTTCAAATTATGACAGAGTCTGTTATTGCTCATAGTCGGAGTTCACTACAAAGTCCCTATGGCCCTCTTAAATAACAATACCCGAAGCTAATAAAGAGACAAATCCAGATTCTCATCACTCTCCAGGATAGACTGTGTTACCCTGTCGTCGGATCTCGTCCATGATCTCCATCATATACAGTATTTCGGCCCACGGCATAATCCTGCTCTCTTTCCGGCCTTCGAGGATATCGAGTGCTGTTCGTTCAGCCTCATGGACAAAGCCACGCCCCAGGGTCGGAAACTCATATTTCTTCCCTTGACACATCTCCCTCGGGAAAAACGCACGATCGGGATTCCCTTCCTGCTTCTTCCACACAGTAAAGGATTCCGGTGCGGATGGCGTCCTACCTTCGATCTCGACATACCCATCGGTCCCGTGTACAACAGCAAAGACTTCACCAGGAGCACCGAGAGCTTTGGTTGTTGAAGTAACGATACCCTGCTTTCCAGTCGAGGGATACTGCAAAAGTGCACTGGTGGTCACTTCAACTCCTTCTTCGTGGGTTTGTGCGGCCATAATGCGCGGCATCTCTGCCTGCTCAGGCGCACTCCCTCCCAGCGCCATTCTCGCCCAAGTAAGCGAATACACTCCAATATCCAGCAATGACCCCGCTCCCAAGTCAAGGTCGCGGTATCTGGATGTCGATGGAAGTGAGGCAACATCAACACCAGATGCAAAATCCGAGAACACCCGGAAAACATCGCCAATGATCTTTTCTTCGTGAAGCAATCGCTGGAGTTCGGTGAAAAGCGGCCGATGTCGGAGCCACATTGCTTCTGCGACGTATACATTCTTTTCGCGGGCGGCGTTGAATATCTCCTTCGCTTGTTTGGCATTCAGGGTGAAGGATTTCTCGCACAGGACATTCTTCCCTGCAGAGATCGCCTCCACGCAATCGCGATAATGAAACCCGTGGGGAGTACCGATATATACAATATCAACCTCTGAATCGCGATAGACTTCTTTATAAGAGCTATAAACCCGTGGGCTCTGCTTCGGGCAGTATTTTCTCGCAAATTCTTGGCCCTTTTCGGCGCTTGAAGTGCCAATAGCCTGGATAACATGTTCTACTTTGCCCTCAGACCAGTCGAGAACCAGATCCTCCACGAACCATTGTGATATCATGCCGGTAGCTTGTGAGAGACGTTATTTTACCGCACATCAACAATACCCAGAGTCCTCGGGAATGACTTCAGACTTACTAATGATACCCCAACGAACCTTGGGTAAGTCAGACATAATGTATATATCCTGTGCAGCGGAAGGTTGCAAGACAGAATGTCTATTGTTTTGTAGCAGATGGAAAGAGACAATATTCGATTCACCTCGATGTTCTGAGGCTTATAGGCCACTCTTTTATTGAAATTCTGTATTACACACCTGGAAACCATAACCCGAGCCACTCGTGTTATTTAAACGAAATATGTACAACATAGGGCTCCCAGAAGAATAACCTCGTCTCTTGCCCGAACTGCCGTGAACCGCATATTAGGGCATTAGTATATAAGAGCCTCGGGAACCAGAATCCGGTTTGGGAAACGGACAATAACCGATATACAATGCCATCAAATCGTTCTTGTTTTCACCTGCAACATACTCCATGTCATATTGCTACTATATTGTACTATTACGGGGAAGCTATATAAACAGTCAAGGTTTCACATCAGGACAAAATCGACATTTTTTTGGTCTATTTCAAAAGCAATATACACCTCTTAGATCATGCACCAAAACTTAAAGCAAAATAGACAGATATAATGGAACGAAGCAGGAAATGACTCACCATACATACTACTGGAGACACTAAATGATCTCTACATCTCACCAGGGAACCAAGGCTCAAGCTTAATGATAAAAGCCCCTTTAACAATCACCTCGGGTGGCGCATCAAGCATCCACCTCCAGAGATCCTCCAGAGCCTCCTGATCACGCTTCTTCTCCTTGGGATTAACAGCATAAAGCTTATACGTATCGAGGTTGTGAGGCTTCCGAATCCACATGACACTGACTGGCGAGGCGGGAAGATCTAACGTGCGTGCAGTATTTCCATGGATTTTCCAGCTCTTAGCGAACTGTCTCCACTGTGGGCGGAACATCTCAAATGTATCTTTCCACTCTGGATCGATATTACTATCTGCAAGAAGAGCACACATGCTCCAGACCAAGTGGGTAGCGCTGACATACTTCTCGAGATAACCGACAAGACCGGGCTTAACCCCGTTCTCTCGGTGGAGCTGGAAACGGAACTGATTAAGAGTTGTCTGGGGTGCAGGGTCTGGGAAGTAACAAAGGAGATTACCTGGGGGAGATCCGGTACGGTGCAACTGACGGTACATATCCTCTTCGGGCTCGAAGGCTTCCGCAGCCTCGAGCGGGAAGCGCTCCTTAGGAGCCTTGTCCTTGTCGGATTTCCAGAACTTCATGGTTGCAAGCTAGTCTGGCACTGCTGGGTAGTAATTGTTAGGCTGTATGAGAAGAATGATGGTGAGCCGGATAGTCGGAATTGGCCTTGATGAGGTATGATCTCCGAGGCGAAGAACATGGTTTATATAGCCACGAGAGACTATATACATAATCTGGCTCCTTAAGTCTCAATGTGTTAATTGATCTCAAAGATTGTCTTTGTGTCTTTGTACCTAGACTTTAGAGCACAATACCTTTTACACCGGGTTTTCCTTCTTTGTTTATAACAAGCAAGAATACCAACCTGAGAAATGGGCAACAAAGAGGCTCTTTGTATCTCATGCTAGCCTGGTTTATGTGTGCTGGTGGGTTGTGCTACAGAAACAGAGAAGGTACTGCTGCTGGCTCGGACACAGAGTAAGTAAAATCCTTCATCTTCCAGTTCACTAGCATAGACCACCGAAAGCATGTTCAATGCAGCCTTGGTGAGCTTGTAGGAAGGAGCAGTCACAACACGCTTGATGGGCTGCAGAGATATGGAACCAAGAGTAGTGGAGCTAAAAGGATTTTTCTATTACTGGTTATATCCTAATGAGGTTCATCTAGAGAATGACTTACATGTTGAGGATTTTCTTTTCCACTCCTTTCCTCATGAGGGGCAAGATTGCCTTGGTGAAGTTATGAACACCGCTTATATTAAGGTGGAAAACTTCTTCTAGATCTTCCCTTTACAGAATATTGTCAGGAAGTAATTTTTCTTTCTTGGAGAGAAATGGTCGAGCCACAGCCCCAACACAGGGAGCAGAAAACAACAACAGAGGTACATATCTCTTCAATCAGTCCAAATGTCATCATACCAGCGTTGTTGATAAGAATGTCCAATCCTTTGCCATTTAGCTTTGATGTGACAATTTTTACAGCATCAGATGTGCTGTCTTGGTCGGTCACATCAAGGGGCACATATATGATGCGTTCCGGGTGTTGTTGCAAATATTCCTGGAATTTCGGATTATTGGAGGATCGGGAGGAAGCGAAAATAGTCATTTCATCTTTGGAATTGGTAATTGGCGAGTCAATTCGAGACCAATTCCTCGCGAACAGCCGGTGATCAAGTAGGAGCGCATAGTGTCTGAATGATGTCGCACGGGAGTAGACCTGCAAAATAAATCTCAACCGCAGGACAATCTTGTAGACTAAATACGTATGCGGGGATATTCGAGTTTGGAGTAGAGAATAGATAGCTGAGACGTATATGCTTTTGCACAACGTAAATGTTCAGTATGTCTATCAAACCCATACGGTCGTTTGGACGACGATCCACACTTACCAACAGAGTGGACGGACTTTAGTGTATTGACTAATCTCCGGTATGTCCATGACTGAATATAGATTTGCAGATTAATGGACAGTACGTAGAAAATGGGAAGTATTATATCTGGATACTAGTTTGGGATTTCAAGCTCTCCAGGGCTGTCTATATCCTGTCGGAGATTAATCAAATCAGGTCCCACTTTTCGTTTGGACGATCGGACTTCAGAGGGGCTTCAGAGGCCAATAAAATCACTCAGATTTGGAGCTACCTCTCGCTTCAACCAGTTATATGCCAGGGTAACACTTGGGGCAATTAATCTGCTTACTTTTGAGTGGGTCAAAGAACCATAAACCCCTCGGACTTAGTAGAGTTAAAAGCCAAGTGCTGCACTATTTAACTAACTGAGGCTTCCAAGACCAATAGAATCTGGTATTCCGTTTCACCGAATATTTATCTATTAGTACGGGAAGGGCTGAGCCTTTATCCTATTCTTGGAATTTTGATGCGAGTTGACGCTTCGAAGAGTCCTTGTTGAGTATTTGAGGAAATTACTTCGTCACTGATATCCCCGGGGCCTCCACTAATCCCTAGAAATATTTACCCTTCGATTATAACTCAAAGACCCTGAGCATACGTCAACCGCTAAGGTGCTTGAATTCTTATAGATATCGAAATATCGGATTCTCACCTCTCTGTGCCCGCCACTTGTTAGTACTATGTAAGAGATCTGGACAACCTTGGATCACCCAACCCCATTTCTTGATGAAGCCCTCTGTCACTTCCCAATTTCCGGGATCGTGGGGTTCTCCCCACACCAGCAACATATTGTCCAACGCATTCGGATTCCAGAAGCCTAATATATCTAAACAAAACTCATGCTTATCATAGGCGCCCTGCGCGCGGATTAGGTTATCCCGCGCTCGAGGATGTGGGAAAAAGTCAAGCCATGGGTGATGTGGCAAGGACCGCTGGCTGGTTGTCGGACATAGCGATGGAGGGATGTTTGTAATAAATTGTGCCGGGCCGAACAGGTTGAATGGTGATAAAACGTCTGCCTCACAGATGCCGTCGGCGACTAGGCCAATTAAAGTAATGTTGGATAGGAATGCCCGGTATACGTTGGCTTTGGTGAGCGTTAAGAGGTGATCAGTGCGGGGGCAGCCCAAGGAATAGCTTTGGTAAGCAGCACTCATGAATTTTCCCAGGATTTGCAGCTCCTTGGTCTCAGGAAGACCTGGAGATTGTCTTACTGCTTGGGTCTGATGGAGCCTGCGCCTTCCTGTGAACTGATTAGTCCAAAGCACAGTGGAGGAGTCCAGTCGACAAATACTTACTGTATTCCCTCTGGTTCAACCTATTTTGTCGTCGCCGCCGCTCGACTGGATTCGTGACCAACCGCCAGTCGTCCTTGGCCTTGTCGTCGAACTCAATGGAAGCCATGTCAATGGAGATAAGCTTCTATCGGAGGTGTCCTTATTTTTCTCCTGCTAGAGGCCAACGAAGTATATACAAAGGGTGGCCTTCGGGTTGTACCTACATAGGTAAAAATTGGTGATCCCTCCAGGGCTAGCAGAAATTATTACTAATCCTTCCAAGGTTCCAAGGTTTTCAGTTGCCAATGAAAGCTTGGTCGCCCCACTGGTACCCCACTGTTTCCCACCCGGCCTTAAGCGGGGTTAGCGGAAAAGAGACCATCTCCATCAACATCTAAAGCCAGTTCATACGAAGTACATATTTACTGTCCCCTTTAGTTTCAAGTGTTTTCAAGTGTCCTCATAATTTCTCAAGAGATTCATTGGTACCTCCCTCATTTCGCCCACAATGCAGCCGTTTCGGCTCACCCTCTCCAACAATGGCACCGTGACAGGTCTACAGTCTATCCCACCATCATCGGCACTGTCTGCTGACTACCGACCTTTGATTGTTGGCCTCCACGGTGGAGGCTATGATAGCCAATATTTCGATGCCACTTCTAAGTATTCTGCCTCCTTGGCGAGTATTGCATTCGGGGTGCCTTTTGTGTCCATCGATCGTCCTTCTTATGGTGGAACCAGTTCTATTCTGCCCATTCCAGAGGGATCTGATTTCCCCCAAGAGACTGGTATCTGGTTGCACCGCTACATCCTGCCGAAAATTTGGACCGAGATTGGCGCACCCAACAAATGCAACTGTGTCGTCCTCTTTTGCCATAGCCTAGGGGGGATGGGAGGAATCGTCGTCGCATCCTTACACGCGCAAGATAATACACCGTTATATCCCCTTGGTGGTATGATTTCAAGTGGCTTGGGCGACAAGCAGCCTGCGTCGATGAAGAATTTCACCCCATCTTTCTTGCCTATTGACGCCGACCACGGATTATTCCCTGTGAATGACAAAGATACTGTGATGTTCAAACCAGGCACTGTCGCCCCCGAGGTTTTTGAGCAAAGTGAACGCCTCAATGCCGTGTCTCCATATGCAGAAACTCCTCACTTTGCACCTGTGTGGCTCCCTATATGGAAACAGAAGTGGGCGGTGCATGTGTCAGTGCCTGTGATGTTTGCTCTTGTGGAGGATGATCCCTTTTTTGTTACTTCGGAGGAAGAACTTGAGACCTGCGCGCGGGCGTTCAACAACAGTGTTCGTGTTGATAAAAGTTTAGTCAGAGGTGCCCCTCATTGCATGGAGCTAAGCCACTGGTCGCAGGGGTGGTATGCTCGAGGCTTTGGGTTCGCGCTGGAATGTTCTGCCAGTTGGGGAAGGACGGGACGTTCTAAGCAAGGTTCTTGAAGAGGGGAGGGCGATCTGATAGCCTAGCATGATTCATGCACGCCGTTTTCCCTGTCATCCATTTCCTTCGTAGCGTCTTTCTTCATGTATATTTTACGTGAGGTTTGTGCTGCTTTTATAGACAAACAGATATATTCCTAAATCTATATAGTCATATCCCAGTGCACTAGCTGGGAGCTTCATCCGATTAAAGGCTCCACGGAACTATTCATTCGAGCCAAGCCTTCAGAATGCCCTGGACAGCATTCCACAACCACTCATCCCGCAGCTTGGCTGAATGATCAAATCCATGGTCCCCATCCCGTACGATGAGTTTGAAATTCAGCTCAGGATCAATCTCAGCAAGCTTGTTCGCCAGCCCATAGCTTTCGTCTACCGGCACCACAGTATCATCCTTTCCATGTAGCACGAGGACCCCGCCTCGTGGAAAGCGAGCACCCTGGTCTAGCTTCTTGAGAGGGTACGGGGCTATTGTGTTGTCAGGAAAGAAACTGCCCAGTCGCCCATGTTGGCAGAGCGAGAACATCAATTCCACTCGTTCATTACCAGCCCCGGACGATACAATCACCGGCTTTTGCGTGAGTGCTTCCTGTCGCTTAACCTCTTCCATGTGGCGCTCAAGACAGTCTCGGGGGAAGGTCGGCATATTCAATACCGGTCTTTCTTGCCCGTTACAAAAGTGCGCGCTCTTGGGGTCCACCACAGGATACACCGCATTGACGGCGCGAATCTCGGACGGGTGATTGAGGCCCATCTGTAAGCTAAGATATCCACCGGCACTATCGCCGACGCACATGATCCGGCTCAGATCTGCCTGGAAGATCCCTTGTGTCTGCTGCTCGAGGAAGGCGGGGAGGGCTTGATGTATCCACTTCCAGTGGTCCTCAACGTCTTCAAGGATTTCCATAACAGAAGACTCAGGAAGCAGTCGGTAGTTCGGGGAAACAATGATGGCGGAGTTCCCTTTGGCCAGCTCGAGATACCAAGGGTTGAAAAAGGCGGGGTAGAGGCTGGAACCGCCGACCAGGCCACCGCCATGATAGCGGAGGAGGACTGGACGAGGAGTGCGCAATTGTTGAGATAGCTCATTCAGACTCTTGGGGTAGATCAGGTCTACCGTGAGCTCATGATTGTGGGCCGTCTTGTAGGTGGTGGTCAGAATGACGAAGTCATCGAAACGTGACATCTCGGGTTCGAGGGCGTCCATGATGTAAGCAGGTGCCGGTCCACGGGTGTTACTCATCTAAGATTGGCACCACAGCAACTTGGCGATGGAGCGTAGTCTTCTTATACCTCTTTCCCTATCATCTCTCTCAACACAAAGATTGACTCGGAGTCTTTGAGTTCCGATGTCGGATTCTGATCTAAAACGGAAACTCAGGTGGGGTCCCGGTTATCCAAATTGACTCTAAGCCCATTGATCGGCACAGTTCCGTCTTCATCTGCGTCCCAGACATGTGGGTCGCAGCGGGCGGCCTCAGGTTTCCGGTGGAGTGAACTGTCGTCATGAAATGTACTAGTTCACCTTTTAAAACTAATACCTAGGTACATTATGTTCTTGGATTACAACACAGATCAAAGATGGCGACGGAAGCGTCCCTGGTGCCTATTTTGAGGCGTCTCATTCCCGGCTTGTCGATTTATACTGCGAGCAATTCTCACTTTCAGGATTGCCTTACGTTTTATAACCATTCCTTGAACGAGCAACCCCTGGTCTGTGTTCAACCTGTGATAGAACAGGAGATTTCACAGATGATTCAATTTTGCAACACAAGTGCTATCCCATTTTGCGTTCGCTCCGGCGGCCATGACTTTTTCAGTCGCTCCTTGATCAAGGGGGGCGTTCTTATCGACATGCGCAAAATCGATTCAATTGTAGTTGAACCAGGTCGAGCCAGTGTGCGAGTGGGTGGGGGTGTGATTGCCGGCACCCTGCAAGAAACACTTGGCTCCCACGGCCTGTTCACCCCGACTGGACAGTCAAAATCCGTGGGATACGTTTCATGGGCTTGTGGCGGAGGATATGGCTTCTACGTTGGAACCTACGGTTTCGGGGTCGACCAGATCCTCGGGGCTAGGGTGGTTTTGGCAGGGGGGCATGTTGTTGACACCGACCGAGATCCAGAATTGCTCTGGGCGCTACGGGGCGCCGGGGCAGGCACATTTGGCATTGTGACCGAGCTTCGTGTGAAGGTCTACCCGGTACCGGGCTTATATGCTGGATTCCTTGCTTTCCCCTTAGCCGAGGCTGAAACTGTTATGGGCCGAATCGAAAAGCTCTTGAATGAGGACTTCCCTGATGAATTTAGCGGAGACGCTATGGCCATGCATCCTGAAATGACCCCGATGCCAGTATCGGAGCCTTGCTTTGTCCTGTATTGGTGCTGGACTGTGACCAACGAGGGCCTTGCACCAGCGAAAAGATTTCTCGATCAGATGCTCCAGGTCGGCAAGGTTTCGGGCAATACGGTCACAGAGAGTAAGTACTCTACCATGCATCCGGGCTGTGGTCGGCCGAACAGGTTCCTGAAAGGCAGACAGTCATGCTGACTCGCACGCTCGGTCTCCAGCTACCCCAGCCGCCTATGGCATGGGTGATTCATCGTCAGCCACCTTCTTTCGCAGTCGGAACGTTGACCGGATACAACAAAAAGTCGGCGCCATCCTTGCACGGCAGCCTCCTCCATATCCGCTGTCCGGAGTTATCTTCCACAATAACCATGGCAAGGGAATTCGGGATGGAATCGCAGATGAAGTCGGCGCGGCCTTTGCGAATCGATACAAACATGTCATTCTTGGGCTGCATGGTGGCACACGACCAGGACACGTTGAGGCCGAGGACGTTTCCAAGGCAGCCACGTGGGTCACAGGACTGACAGACGCGATTGACCAGGACGGGCTTTCCTTCCAAGGAGGGTTCCCCAGTTTCTTTCCTCCCGACCAGGTGGATGTAGAAGAGTTCTTCGGGACCCAGGGGGCGGCAAGACTGCGGCGCCTGAAAAGACGGTTGGACCCGGACAATATATTTTGCCATGCACTGCCTGGTCTCGGGGCGGCTTGATAGGGAGGTAGAGCAGAGCGTTTTCCTTTCATGAAAGTGGGTTATCCTACAGACGGTCTAACGCGATATAAGATCGCAAAAGGTTTTAGTAGTTTCTCTAATATCGACAAATAGTATGTAGTGCCTAGTAAAAGCTATAGATACGGAGCTAATTCTAGCTTCGCCATCAAGATGCATACAGCATACTATCCGGATGACCAGGAATCGTAGGAGAATCGTAGGACAGAGAAAACATATAAGGACACACACTGCATCCAGCCTTATGACTCTCCGATCAATGTTTCTATTACTTATGTAGAAGCCGTGGAGTAATCAGATTATTCTCTCTTTGGCAAGCTACCACCTCAACCGCTGTGCGTTCTATTATACCAAAACAGGTTGATCTTCATCCAAATAAGGACTAGCCAGAAGATGAGGCATACATGCAATAGTACCTTGAGTGATTTACTCAGGTTTGATCAGTTATAAAGAACAATATCTTTATATAACTAGTAAAACTATAAACACATCCAATCCGACCTCCAGTCCCAAGATTACTTCATTTTTCTTTTGCCAGCTTAGGCTTGGGCTTGGTCCAGGAACTCCTGGACGCCAGTGGCGCGCAACCCTGCGAGGACCCCGGTACCCCATTCCAATGCCTTTCCCTTGGGGTTATTATTCGCATTCGTAAATCCCATGATCCTCATCTGGTGGACGGCTACAAGGGCATCATTCGCCTTGAGTCCTTCATGAATCGCATTGAGAACTTCCGAAAAAGTCACCGGGCTAGACTTCCAGGCTGGATCGCGAGTCCTAATCAGCTGGAAAAGGTCTCTGTAAGTCAAAGTCTGCCCAGCCAGGTGCGTAACTGGCGGTAGATCAGCAGCGGTGTTGATGCTGTCCCGCAACACAGCCAGAACCGCCCGCGCTGTATCTGCAGTAGATGTCAAAGTGACCTTTTGCAAGCCATCTGCATACATGTCGAAAACCTTAGTGCCATGGTTCATCACCCATGCGAGGCCGATCTCGCGGAGCGGGTTCTTCTCCGGAGACAAAATGTATTCCATAAACCAGCCGTGGCAGATCATCGTCCACTTGATATCATGTTGTGATCGTAGTTTCTTGCGAACAACCTCATGCGTGGCGGCACTAAACATTGGCTGGTCCGGGAAATCCTCAATGTTGATGTTCCATTCAGAAGGGATGAAGTGTTTACACCTGCGCGACTGGCGGCATGCTTCGAGGATATTGGAGTGTGCGGAAATATAGAACTCATCAGGGCCGCTGAGGGTTGAAACGATCGCGTCGCAATCATCGAGGTTCTTCTTCAAATCATCGACGGAGTAATTGGTGAGGCGGATCTCAGCTTTGAGGTTTTTGAAGCTCGGTTTCACTGTACCAGTGAGAACCACGACTTCATCCTCTGACTTGCAAAATTCTGTTGCGAGGCAAAGGCCAACTTCACCAGCACCAGCGATAGCAATCTTCATTGTCTCTGGAATGTACGTATGACGAGAGAATGTAGGCAAGTCAAAGGTAGGAGTGAGATGGGATGTTCGTCGAGTCAACCATAGGAGTCTGAAAAGGAGAATCACATTTGCGAACTTTGGCAAGCTATGTAGGTCAGTGTGGATCTATTCTATGTACTTCCGAGCTACTGAAGCTACGGGTCCGTAAAATCCTGGCAGAAGTTCTGTCACAGTGGAGCGCATGATCAGATCCATATTTTATCTACATCGTAAATGCTAACTTAATTTCCTTTTCAGCCTACATATATAGTTGATGTCCTGAAGATAACAAATGTTAACTCATAATAGAGCATAAATGGATCGGAGCTCTATCGAATTGACATGAGTTGTCGACTTAGATACACATGGAAACAAGGTCTTCTTATGTTCCATGTTTATCATATTGTTCTATTGTGGTCTTACCCTTTCCATAATGACGAATGCCTCGCGATGCAGCCGAAGGAGGAAGGCAGAGTGGAGAGTGGACCTCGGGATATTCCAAGGTGGGTCCACGTCGCGTTCTATCTCAAAAGGGTACGTGGAGTGGGTCTGTTCTGGGTGAGTGGCCAATTAAATTGAGGGATGGTGAACTTAAGTCTTCAAGGTACTTTTCAGGGATCATATCACATGTGCAGTATATCGTTTGTTATACTTGTATTTACAAAAACTGTCGGAATCATCCTAGAAGCAGTCGCCATCCTTTGCGTAGCATGTGGTGTAACCAGGAAGATGAATCGCCGTTATCACGCAAAATCCAGAGTTCCTCGAGGAGCTGAACCACACGGAGATTTACAGGTAGCCGGTTAAGGGAGTACACAGCTCGTAGTCTCTGCAGAACCTGATTCCGCAAACAGAAATCCGTCCTTTTCAGCTCCGATCCAGCGGCAAGGAGTGGAAGTGACTGGAAGTTCAAATAATTCGAGGTCATAGGAATCTCGAGGAGATGATGCACAGTTTCTACAGCATAATTAAGGATCAGGGCCTCCAAACTAAACTCTTTTAAATCCGGGTTAGAGAAGCATCCATTGCATCCACAAATTCGGTAAAGCAATATGAGGCCATGCTTGCGTAAAGCCTCATATAAGTGCTCCAGAGAAGAGTTGGCAGAGCACCCGTTCCACTTCAAGAGCTGCTGCTCCAATATGGTCTCCTGAGTGGGGTTGCATCGCGGCGAGTGGAGGCGGTGCCGACAGTAACGGCCCACACCCACCAATATAAAGACAAGCTCTGTGCCATACCCGTACATTGGGTGATGCCAGCGGCCCATTCTCTGAACTGCGATGGCCAAGTTTAGTGTGTTGAACTCTTGTTTTTCGCTTGGGTCCACAAGAAACGCAGTGCACATCTCCCAGTAGAGATACATCCCGAAACACAGCCGGGACAGGTCATCATGTTCAAGAAGGTGAGACGTGTGCTGGAGTAATTTGTTGATCAGAATGCGCGCTGCAAATAAGTGTTGCTTTCCAAAATCTGCCATGTCGTCGTCGGCTCCGTGCGACAATGCCAGTAGCATAGCAGTAAGTAGAGATGCTTGTGGTGCAGTCTTTGGCCCGTCTATCTCCTTCCGGAAGGATGCCAGGGCTTTACCTCTCTCCTCAAGGGCAATAACAGAAGCCTGCGCAGAAAAGTAATGTTCATGATAGGCGCTGATTGACTGGATTATGTGCATCAACGAGCACGACTTTGTAATATGACCCAAGATAGGAAATGAATAGGGGTTGTCATCCGGGTCAAGCACCAGTGTCTGGCTCACTCTCTCCAGCCAATATTGGAGGAGCCGTCGATTGATGATAGCGTCCATGGGTGACGAGACCCAGTATGGCTCGTATTGCCACGGCGTCAGGCGGGGGGTCGAGGAGCAGATCAGACCTTGGCGTCGGCAACGGAGGCATACTGGGAAAGTCTCGTCACATTTCACTCGCTTTGCTTTGCATTGTCGACAACCGAGTTTACTCTTCGCTCTCCGCCTCGAACCGGGCAGCTCCCGGTGCGTCGTCACGAGTGGTGCATGTTCTGGCATGCAGGTGATTGGCTGAAAACGCACGCGGAAAGGAGACATTCTCGCGTCTACTGAAGAATATACTGAAACCCGACTGCCGACTTCTCACACCGGCGAGGGAAACTGACCCGTCCAGACAACTCGGTCTGCATGGAGACTTGCCTGCGGAGCAGAATTCTGCCGCCGGATACCTTGGGAAGCTTTCCGCTTAGTAAAATGGGCCCCTCGCATTACCCAAAATCAAGTAGGTCGATCATGGGAGAAAGATTAAGGAGAACGACATGGAGCATGCAAGTGCCGCCATACCGAGATCTAACGGAGTTTCTGAAGCTTCGGTTCGAATTGTGGTTCAAAAAGCGCGTCCAATTCACCTGGGCAAGCGAGGAAGCCCTCAGCATCGTGGTCATCACGTGAGCCAGCCCTAATAACCTAATAAGACTACTAGTGAGTGTGAAGGCGGACATTGTTAGCAGAAAACACACAGCTCAGTGTTCTTAGCAATTCCCCACCTCGGTATCAGATGCCCTGATGAACAACAAAAAAGTAAATCCACCGTCTTTGGCTTCTCATGTGAACGGGTGTGGACGCCAGTAGATAGGCCTTGCGCATCAACTAACCTTCATATTATTTCCCATCTGCTATTGTTACATTTTCCAAGCCGAAAGATCATTAATCAGTAAAAACAGTATGTATAGGTAGGGAAGTGATCCGCGTACCCACACCTCGGTTTCACGACGAGTCTTCTTTTGTTGGCGAGATGACCCCTCTTCCCATGTGTATGAGAAGTTGAAAATGAATATAAGATTCGCCGGGTGGAGTGTGAGGGGTGAACGATGTGCTTTTCATCATTTTGCCCATAACTCTTCATCATTGCTACCTTAGGACGGTCACCGCAATGCGTAACCCAAAGGATTCAATGACGTCCACCTGGCGTTTGTGGGATCGTTCGCAGTGGAATGCTGGCCACTGGCTTCTCGAGGTCCTGAACGTGCATCACCTTGATCTTGATCAAGAAATCCCGGTTCATCAGAAGACAGAAAAGGTCCCTTATGCACCAGAGCTGCAGTTTCATCGTTGGGTCCTTATCCACGCTAGTCTCCCACTCGTCCTGCACCAACTCTATATCAGATACTTCGGCCACCCTTCAGCGTTGCTGGCGTTTGTTTTCTACAGCCTGGCCCTGGAATTCATTGCCGTGCACGAAACACATGTCCTCCGCCGCGTCGGCCACAATATCGGATTCTTCGACGGGGACAAGCATGCTCGCGATGGTGTACCTGACGTGGGTGTCGGGAAGACCGTGCAGAGTCTCCTATCCGTTATCGCGTTCCGTCCGATGTTGGCCGTCTTCCTCGCCTATCGCGCCGATGAAGGCCCATCATCGATCCGATGGGGATGGCTCATCTTCGAGACCGGCATGTATGCTCTCGTGCTCGACTTCTGGTATTATATCTTTCACCGCTCCGCACACGAGACTGAACACCTCTGGAAATTCCACCGCACACACCACCTGACCAAACACCCCAATCCTCTCTTAACTGCGTATGCGGACACGGTGCAAGAGTTCATTGACATTGTCGGCACGCCTCTCATCACGTACGGCACAATGAAGCTCATGGGATTCCCCATGGGCTTCTACGAGTTGTGGATATGCCAGCAATACGTGGTGTTCACGGAGGTTTTGGGTCACAGCGGCTTGCGCATGCTCGCCACGGGGGTGAATCCCTGGACGTGGCTGCTAAGGTTGTGCGACATGGAGCTCGTTATTGAGGACCATGATCTTCATCATCGCAAGGGTTGGAGGAACAGCCATAATTACGGCAAACAAACCCGGGTGTGGGATCAGCTGTTCAACACGTCTATCCCTCGTGTGGAGGGGCACCGGGACAATATTGACTATGTCAACACGGCGAAAATTCCCTTGTTGTAACAGGTAACAGACAAGACTACCTCTTTCAAGCGCGCATGCGACTTGTTGCTTGATTGGGTTTCTGCAACGAGATATTCAAGACTATCCCCGTTCTGCTATCGGCGAGAACCTTGGAAGGCGATGGATATAAAAGAGACGGAATTAGTGCGCAATAAAACATATGAATGATATGAATTTGAAGTCTGGAATTTTCATTATTCACAGGTCCTCATATTTTGTAACTTACCTGTTCGGAAAGAGTCCCGAGAGTGCACGCTGGAGAGGTCCAGTCAGCCCTGGGATTAAAATAGCCAATGAGGGAGCTATTAGCAAGCTTGCATATACCTACATGTAGGTACATACGTAGATACTTACCTAGGTAATACCCGTTACGAGGACAGAATGAACTTGTTAAGTGGAAAATGGCCTTAAGGGGTCAACCTTACATACCTATTAGAGCCACCTTTTGCTGCAGACTAAACATCTCTTCCTAGTGTGCACGCCATTCGGTGACAGAATATGGTAATTCTATTGCAGTTAGATCCTCGTGCCGCGATTGATCAAAGAGCAAGAAGTTGCTACGATATTCGCTGCCAGCTCCAGCTCCGCGGATCCTGCCCTATCAGTCTTGCATTCCATAGGAAGATTACGATTACCAGATCATAGCGGCAAATCCTATTTTAAACACACGGATCTCTATAACGCGGATCTTAGCCCTACGTACAGTGATTTTGCCTCCGCTTTTAGCGAACCCTCCTGGTCCAGAAGCTGTGCCTCAAGGAACCACTTCCTACCTTCCTTCCGCCTCACCCACGCTTTAATGACAACTGCACTCGGAGTAGGCACAGGTGAACGGTAAGACACTTCGAGACTCGCTGTCAATAGATGCCCGCCCTCTTCTGAGACGAATACCCGGTAGGCTTCGGCACAAAACCCTAATGTCTCGTCAAACAAAGCTGCCAGAACTCCTCCGTGTGCGGTATCGATGTAACCATTCACCCCCGATTCAATTTGGCAAAATGTAATGAAAAATGGATTTTCTGCGCTTTGTGGTAGGTCTATGCCATCGTCGTCCGTCAGTGGGCTGTGCAGGGAGCCTGGCCTTCGCATAAAAGCCAGGGCCCTTGGGATAGTGTCAAGCGAATTGATCGCTTTGTTGAAGAATTTGTCGGATAAGTCACCCTTGTCGTATCTCGAGACGAAGGGAACGGACTGGTAGAGACTCGTGTTGTCCATGTAGGGACGGGCGAAAGGCATATTGGTGAAGAAATCGACATCTTCCTGGGAAACTTGGAGATTGGCGATCAGCTCTTTATAGGTGTGATTGTACATGGCTGTTTAAAAAGATTGTTAATAAAGTAGAATGATCAAAATATCGGTCGCAAATTGGTAGATATATGCCTTTTGACTCCTTGCCGAACAACCGCGGTTCCGGCTCGTGCGGGGGGAAGTTCTCAGCACGGGTTGGAAATTATTTTCTCGATGTGAACAAGCTCTTCGAGGAGATCCATCTGGTGATGATACTAGGGAGCGTGACCCTCTTCGAGAGTACCTGCTATCAAATGGCATGGGATCCAGTCCCACCTTACAACCCCTGCCTATTCAAGAATAAACGCTTGGAACCATTGGTAACTATTATGACAGAACATGAACTACCAAAGTACTAGGGGCGTAGCCCTCTATAGGGTGTGAATTACACGTAAAGGTAGCACTGATTTCCTGTTCTCAGAAGCAGTTTGGGACCGGCTTTTCGTCACAAACAACCCCCAGTTGAGGACACAGACACAGCTTACACCGCACCACAGCGAAATTTCCAACAGTCGGCAGTTTGTGCTCTTCTGCTTGACAACCTTCTCCTCCCAAGAGCAGCCTGGGCTTCAACCAAAGCTACATTACTCTCACCATGGCTCCGCGAAAGCCCGATACCAAGTCGTCTCCAACTCCTGTGATGGTCAAGCAAGCCAAAACCGGAGTCACTAAGCGCGTCTCAGCCCAGACGGCGAAGAAGGATCTGAAATTTATCTGGAAGTGTGTCAGTCTTTCCGGTGGACTAAAGGTTAATATCTCCATCTCCCCCATCAGCTAACGTATCTCAGAAGATATAACATGACCCTGCTGTCTATTCTTACTCGTTACAGCTCAGCACTCAGGCCGTGGCCGACGATATGGGTGGGTATGGCAGCTGGCGCTATCCAGATAAAGTACTGGCGGCTCAAGAAGAAACTTGAGGAAGGCCAAACTTCCCAAAATGACAGAAAAGTGAAGAAAGAGGGGCTGACAAGCAGGAGGAGTAGGAGAGCCATGCGGCCGAAGATCGGCCTCGCTCCTTGGTGTTCTTCTTTCAGGTCTCCTTTCGGTATTTCCAACGGGGAAAGTCGACCACATGGACATGACCTCAAATAACGATGACGCTACCATATTAACAACAAAGCGTCACCGGCATGAGACAAACCGTCCGCCTCGTTGACGAGAGCTCTATCGACGATTACCTTGCCCTGTTAATAACACAAATGTCATCGGAGTGTGACCAACCGTTGGGTTCGTTGACAGGAGGTAATGGCTGTGGCTTTTCCATCAGTGGCGCTGGGTGACGGCTCAACAATCAAGAATATGAGAAGAGCTGATACAAGGAAATAAACATACAAACAATGAATTTTCAAAATAGATATGGAACAAGAACCTATGTACACCGGAAATCCCACGGCCTGACACGCCACCACGCTACCGAGAGTTATTAAACACATACGCATTTAGTTCCTGAGACGATAAAAAAATAAACAATTACTGAGTCCGTCGGGCCATGAAGTAGGTCAGAAGGTTAAGGGATCCCTCACGAGGAGGCTGGGTGACATTTTGTACTCGCTCGGATCCGAAGGTGATATTCAAGAACGTGCAGAGCTCAGTGGCATTCTTCCTCACACCGGGGCGCGGGTGCCCGAGCTGTTGCATCACCGCAGCGCCGATGCGAGCCAAAAGCTCATCGTCGATATCAATACCGGGGCGCGATAACGACTGCTGGATAGTACTCAAGCCCATGATGGTGGACCGGTACGCCTCATCATCCTCTGCGTCAGCTCCGAGATCCAGTCCCTGCAGAACACCGATAATCGCCGTCTGGGGCAAGGTCAAAAAGACCAGTTTGTCTACCACTTCCTCTAGGCAAGTGACAAAGTGGGAAGTGGACTCGTAGTGGCGGCGGGCCCGGATAATAGCTGCCATGGCACGAGTGTCATAGGGGTGGAAATGCTCGCGCGTCCGTAGAAGCATGGAGCGGATAGTGGCCAAAACCTGGGTTTTCACATCATGATCCTTACGGTTGGAAGGGGTGGCTTCCAGTTCCGCAAATAGAGCTTCCAGCAATGTATTGTAGTCCTGGCTTTGCGACACAATCTCATCACCGTGGTATTGAATAAGTCCCTGTAGCTTCCTATATCCCGAGGGCTCCATTGTCCTCGAGACAATACGAGCGAGGCCTTTATGGATCATTTCCTTGGCATTGACCGGGTCCTTCGAACGCGGGCTAGGGCTGCGGTGACGATCAACCCACTTTCGAGTGCGTCGTGTGGAATCATCAGACATCGTTGATTGGGACAGCGTCGACTGGGAGAGTGATTGAGGTATCGATTCGGATGATCTCTGTCTCGCTTCTGGCGAACGCGGGGTTGTTTCATTTGCCGTCACTTCTTCGAGGGCACTCGGCTTAGCTGCAGACCGCGGGACCGCGGGCAAGTCTACAGTCTTAATCAGGCGTGGAGTCGCATTTTCATTGTTACCATCCGTGCTGTTCGTTCCCACATGAGGCTCTTGCGGAAGGACGGTATCCATATCCATGATATTAGAGGCCGCTGGCTGGAAACGACCCCTCGTTGGTGATGGGCTTGGCTGAAGCGGTGCCCGGCGTGTTGGAGATGGAGTTCGAACTTCAAGGTTCGTACCAGATTCCTGCGTAGGCGCCAAATCAGGTGTAGGTTTCCTAGCCGAAGCGACCGCCGAAGCTGAGATATTCTCGGAGATGGGTTGAGTCTCTGATTCGCCATGTGCGGGTTCGTCAGGGCGGCTAGGTGACGACTTTGAAGGGGTAGGCTTGCCCACCGAGGCGACGTAGCCGAGAGTCTCATTTTTGTCTCCGGTGGGCGTGGTAGGATCTTCGTAGATCACCACTGACTCAGGCTGGGGTTTGACAGCAGATATAGGACCAGAGCTGAAGTCCAGATCTGAAGGCTGGAGAGCCGGAGACACTGCAAGATCTGGTTCGGGGACATAAGATGGAGGTGCAGCAACAACAGGTTCCTGCAGTATGATTGGTCCTGGTCCTTCAATAGGAACCGAGTCGGCGTGAGGCCCATGCGGTGCTGAGTACAGAAGAGGCTCTGATGCATTAAGGGGAGGACTTTCCAACTCAGTTGATGCAGGGGAATGTTGGTCCTCGGATGGACTAAGGTAATTTCCATGACGGGGCGTTCTTGCAGATGGCTGATTGGCCAGGCTTTCGTTCGAGTCACTGCGAGCACGGCTCGCGGCCATAAGATCATTATGAGACTTGGACTTGGACAAATCGAGTTTCTTCGGCCTGCCCTTCGTTGCAGCAGCTTGCGCTAATTCGTGCGGGCGAGTGCGAGGCGCCGTTATGGGCGCTTTCGATGTAGGTGTTGATGGTTTGGATCTCACGGCTCTGGGGGAGGTGGTCGCTTGTCGGGTAGATTGGGTACTGCTAGACTGGGCTCGTGACTCAGGTCGACGAGCATAGGGGTCTGCTGTTGCAGGGCGACTAATTTCCGGTCGTCGAGACTTAATGGCGGGTCTCATAGGCGCAGAAGATAGTGATGAGAGAGGGGCCCCAGTGGGCACGCTCCGAGTGGACTTGGAGGCAGGAGCCTCAGCAAAGGTTGGCTGAGCCGACTCGGGTCGAGAAGGCATCTGGGCCTTCTTTCGAGCAGCAATAGCTTCTTGTAAAGCGGAGCGACTCTTAGCGGGGCTCTTTGCAGGCAATGCAGGCGCACCTTTTGAAGGGGGGTTGGGGT